GCCCCCCCCCTCCCAACATCAAAGCCCTTTGTCGGCAGCCCCAGTAAACCTCATCCCACGAGGAATAACGGGGCTGCCGAAAAAGGGCTTTGATGTTGGCAGGGGAGCATCCAGACTAGCGCGCTGAGCCAACAAACAGCTGATCAACTGTTTGTCAGCTCAGAGCGGCAGCCATGTAAATTTAAATGAAGCCGCGATCATTTAAATCGCAGTTTCATTTGCCTTTGCCAAAAAACAAATCTACATGGCTCCATTGATGGAGCCATGTAGTCTAGACACAGCCTCGGTGTCCCGGCAAGCTCATTGAAAAGCCAGCTGCTTAGCGCACATGCCACAGTGCCTGGAGGGAGACACGTGGCTGTACTGGTGGCTCCAGGACCCGAGCATAAGGAATTGGGTTGGGAGTATGCCCCCTTATAGTACCTCCTGGTATTCTCGTACCACCTAGGTCCCAAAAGTGCCAGGTTATCAGAAGTCTACTATATATTGGAACAACCAATGTTTGAGCACCTGGAAAATACAAATTATGTCAAACCAAACTAACTTCCTAGTCTTACAGGGTTACAAGTCATGCAGAGAAGCTGTAGATGGGATATAGCTTGATTTTAGTAAGGTTTTTGAGACTGTCCTAAGACAGTGTCATAAGCAAACTAGGAAAATCAGATGTAGAAGATCTTACTCTAAAGCGAATATACAAAAGGTTGAATGACTGTATTCAAAGAATATTTGTAAATGGTTTACTGTCAAACATATGAAGCGAGGTCCCATAGAGGTCTCTCCTGGATATGATACTATTTAAAATTTTCTTGGATATCAAAATGGAGAGTTTGCTACACAACATGTTGTTGACATGAAGATGGAGGGTGTTGCAAATACTTCAAGGGATAAAATTAGATTTCAAAATAAAATTAAAAAATTAAAGAATTGGTCTGAAATCAACAAGATCAGAATTCCAAAGTTTTATGCCTACATTCATAGATTGATATACATCTACCAGGCAGGCTTTTGGTCTTGGTTTGTTCCAATAGTTAGTCACCATCACTGTTAAGAAATTGTATTTGTTTTCTAATTTGAGTTTGTCTGTCTTCATCTTTCAGCTTTTGGGTCATATGCCTTCTTCTGTTAAAGATCAATTTAGTACCCTATAGGGACACCAATAGAAGTGGGGCAAAGGGAGTGAGACTCCACATGTTCAATATTTTTCTGCTGGCAGCTCTCTCCCTTTCTCAGCTTGTGTTTCATTACTACCTCCCTCTGTTCCTTTGCTGATTGCATTGGAGTTTCTTCTCTACTTATCTCTTCTTTACTTCACCTTCCCCACCTGATGCTTCATCACTGTGATATGTGTACCTCTTTGAATGCACACTCCTTTCAACCCTCTAAAACAAAGCTTGCTGCTCAACCATCACAACTGCATGAGAACAAAAGGATAATATAAGGGGGATACACACGCTCTAGACCTGCTGACAGGCCAGGGTGAAAACTTGGTCTTTTGTCTCACAGCACACATGCTCACCACAGGCAGACTTTCAGAGACGCGAAAGGATTTCTTATCATCAATCTAACAAACAACATCATAATAGTCCTGCTGCACAAAAGATGCCACAAATTCTACAATCCATCTGGCCATTTCAAACAAAAAACATAGTACAAAATGTAAATAAGGCACCCCGGGAAAATGTTCAGTTGCTGAGTAGCCAAACACCCATTGGAACTTTGAAAAAAGCTCATGTAAAAGTAAAAATTGAAACAGAGGTAGAAAGAAACCAGAGATGAAATACTGACTTCAGTAAAGTCAATAATAAAAGCAACCATCAACTTCAAAGCAGCCAGGATTTCACCTTAGGTCTCTAGAGAGTACGTCTACACCGCATGGCTATTTTGGGTACCTCTAGTATCCCGAAATAGCTACCCCACGTCTACACAAGCTGTCCAGTATTTTGAAATAATTTTTAAAATAAGAAGCATGCTATTTCACCATCCCAGTAAACCTCGTTGCACACGGGTTAAAGAATGGCTCAAAATAGCATGTTATTTCAAAATGTAGCACTGTGTAGACATGCCAAATTTCAAAATAAGCTATTTCAAAATAGATGTAAGCAGGGGCTGAATTACAGCTTGCCATCAGCCAGCTAAAAGGAAAGAGCTGCCCTGGGGGTGAGTATGCTCGCTCAAATTGTTTAGCCCTGCAAGATAATTAACTGTTAACTGTTGATATGTAAATACAGCTCATGTCAGGATGGGGAAGGAATCCGAGGTGTGGTTATGTAAATCCAATTCAGCCAGGGCTGATGGAGGATCAGTGTTGGAATGGAATGTGATGTATTATAACTAATTTGGGGCTGTTGTGGTCACAAATCATGCTACCCCTAAATGTGGAAAATGTAAAATATGACACCAGTATTTGCAGGAGAGACACCATCATTGTAAGAGGTCTCAGAGGAACAAGCCTACCCCCCTTCCAGTGTTAAGTAAACTGAGTTGGGGGGAAAGGGCTAAAGGGCTTGAGTCAGCCTGCTTCATGCCTGCCTCTTTCCCCCTTGTTTTATGGATAGACCTAAAGCAGACTCCATGAGGAGTCTTTTTGCTAGTTCAGTGGAAGCTGGAATCTTTTGCCAGCCTAGGTGGTGGCTAAAGAGTTGAAATCACTAAAAGCTGAAGTCACTGGTTTGGCCTGGAGTCAAACCCATTGCAGCCAGTGGAGAGGTTAGCAGGATCAACCGGAAGAAGGCCGGTAGGAGCGGCAGCAGGCATCCCGTGAAGTGGCTGGGGGGGGCGGCGGGGCAGGGGG